TAATACCTCAGTATGTATAAATATCATATTTTCATTATCTGTTGATCTCTTGATATACATAAAGGCTGCTTCCAAAATTTAAGTATAAGCTATGCTGCTACAAACATGAATTTGTATATATGACTATAATATGTCTTAAATTCTTTTGAGAAGAAACCCAGTTTTAGAAACTCTATGCTGAATCCACAGTGTTTGTACTAGTTTACATTTCTACCAACAATGCAGAAATTTTCCTTTATTCCCCCAGCCTCACCAGCATTTACCATTAGATTTCTTGATGATGGCTATTCTTTCTGGGGTAAGATGGAACCTCAGTTTTGTTTTAATTTGCATTTTTCTACTGGCCAGTGCTATTTGAGCATTTCTTCATGTATTTATTGGCTTTTTGTATTTCTCCACTCAATGCACTTCCCTATTTTTTGATTGAGTCTTTTATTTTGAGGATCTAATTTTTTTGAGTTATTTACATATTCTACATATAAGGCTTCTGTCTGAGGAATACCTGGCAAAATTTTTTCCTATTCTGTAGGTTGTCTCTTCACCCCATTGGTTGTTTCTTGCATTGTGAAGAAGCTTTTTAATTTGATATGATCTCCTTTGTTGATTCTCAGTATTATTACATGTGTGCTGTTTGTTCAGAAAGCCCTTGCTTATGCCTATTACTTTTAAGAGTTTTACCTGTTTTATCTTCTAGCAGATTGCTTCTATTTTAACATCTGGCTCTTTGATCCATTTTGATTTTAGTTTGGTGCATAGTGAAACATATGGATCAAACTCAATCTTCTACATGTGGATAGCCAGTTTTCCCAAGACCATTTATTAAAGAGGCTATTGTGCCCCTAGTGTATGCTTGTTGGGAAAACAATTTGGTTCACAAACAAAAGCATTTGGCAAAATTGTTGTTTTTGTTTGCCAACTCTATATCAGGAGACAAACACAACCATGGCCATCTTTTCTGCACAAATGTGACCTTCTTTTCCAAAATCATGCAACAAACTAAGTTCATGAATTCAAGTGCCACTGTATAATGTTGAATGAAATAAACTAAAGACACAATCTTAAATACTGTATAGTATCTTTCATAAGGCAAAGCACAAGCAAAGAGTAATAAGGAAGAACAGAAGGGGAGAAGGTGGGTCACTTGCAATAAGGAAGTGATCCAAGGGAAAAAGTGCAAGGAGTGAGGAGGAGGGAAAGAGGAAATAAGTAGAATAAAGGTATGCCATGCATAGGAGCCCAATAGACTCAATTTAAATTCATATAAATCATATGAATACTTGGAAAAGAAGAGCTCCAAGGCTCCAAATAGAAAGAAATGATAAAAAAGGGAAATGCTAATTATCCTGATTTGACCAGTGCCCTTTTACACACATCTGTTGAAATATCAAGTTTCGCTCCATTAATATATACAAAAAATACATATTTAAGTGTAAATACAGCATACACATTAACTATGCTACTTAATATTAATTTATTAAATCATATTTGGTGGTTGAAGCCAAAATTGTAATACCATTTCATATAATATTCAATGTATATAAATAAAACATTTTTAAAAATCATATAAAGTTTTGCAGTAATAAAACTAAATGTGGTAGTAGGGATTCTATGCTTAATTAAGAGTGAAAAGTATTAATACTAGTGGATTGTAATAATTGTATATGTATACTACCTAATAATTTATACTATTTCATTAAGAAAAACCTACAAACTGTGCCACTATAAACATGGTCACACATTTATTACTGTGGTATGATTCTTTTAATTCTGGGAGGTTAGGGGAATGGAGAAAAAATAAGAATCAATAGATATCATGTAAAAGTACAAATTCCCAATGACGAATGTCATAATATCACATACCTAAAATACACCAAAAAACTTAATGAATAAAAAAGAAAAAAACAAAATCCTACAAAGCAATATGTGTAAAAATATATATAAATAAATAAACTACACTGTAAAAATAATTCACATAGCTCACAGAAACACAAGAAAAAAGTAGATCATGAAATACAGGAAAGAGAAAACAGAGTAAAATGGCAGACTTAAGCCATGTTATGGTTTGGATGTAAATGGAAGATAAACATATTACATAATGAAAAAGGATCTCTTCACTAGTAAAACAGAATAATCTTAAATATGTGCACAGTAAACCAAACACCTTGAAAACTAAAACTAATCAAGGAAGCTAGAGGGACAGAGTTGGAGAGCCTGATTTATTCTACTCTCAGTATTTGATAAAACTGCAAGATAGAAAATTAGCATGAACAGCAACAACACAATCAAACAAAAATAACTATCTCACAAAGAATAAACCACCCAACAAAGGGAAGAACACATGTATTTTCCCAGAGTCCATAGATCATTCACCAAGATGAGAACATTCCTAAACCATAAAATAAACCTAAATAAATTTTTTTAAATTGTACTGTTTTTTGAAAGAACAAAATCAAATTGGAAATCAATAACAAAAACATAAAATTCCCAAACACTGGCAAAGTAAATGTAATTCCAAGTAATTCATGGTTCAAAGAACTCTCAAAGGAAATTTTTAAATCTATATATACCTAAAAGATAATGAAAGCAGTAAAAGTACTGTGAAGAAAACTAACAATATTAAATGCACATTTTATAAAAGAGAAGTACAAAATCAACAATCTCTACATTCTTCCTTCAAGAAAACAGAGAAGAAAAAAAAGAGCAAAATAAACAGCCAAAAAAGGGAGAAACAATAAAGAACAGGAAAAAAAAAGAACAAAAAATGAGGAAATAAAAAACTAGTTTTTCAAAATAAAACTTACCACGAGTAAGACTGGCTATATGAACCACCACAAAACTAAAGCAAGGTGAAATAGACAACCAACATAATATTCTTATAATTACTAAAAAATATTGAATTTATAACATAAAAATTCTCATAATCTCTACGTGTAGATAGTTTCACTAAATAATTCTACAAAAAAAAAATGTAGAGAATTAACACTGCTTCCATAATGTCTCCAGAAATAGAAGAGGGAATATGTCCCAATTCACTTAATGAAACTAATATTACTCAGGCAAATAATAAAAAGCCAATAAAATTTTAAAACAATTTTTAAATGGAATCCATGCTTACTATAAAATATAGAACAATAACATTTTTCGAAAAAGGAAATTTATTAAGATCCAGGATTAGGGGAAGAGTTCTAAGAGATGATAACAAAAGCATGATTTACAAAGGAAATACTGATAAACTAGCTAATATCCAACAAAGTATTAGTTTCTAGAATATACAAGAACTCTTAAAATGCAACATTTGTAAAGCAAGCCACTCAAATATAACAGGGCAGCCGGGTGTGGTGGCACATGCCCATAACCCCAGCACTTGGGAAGCTAAGGCACGAGGATCACTGTGAGTTCGAGACCCAGCCTGGGCTAAGGAAATACTGATAAACTAGCTAATATCCAACAAAGTATTAGTTTCTAGAATATACAAGAACTCTTAAAATGCAACATTTGTAAAGCAAGCCACTCAAATATAACAGGGCAGCCGGGTGTGGTGGCACATGCCCATAACCCCAGCACTTGGGAAGCTAAGGCACGAGGATCACTGTGAGTTCGAGACCCAGCCTGGGCTATATATATATGACATATATATATGATAAGTCATCAGCCACCATTTCAATTTTAATTAGTTTTTATTATAAGATGCTCAAAATGGCTAAGATGAATAGCAATACTGTAATATACTGAAACTAGGGAGAGAGAACAGGATTATTCATAGACTGCTAGTAGAAGTGCTGCTGTTACAACTTCTATGGAACACAGTTTGAGATTTTATAAATCCAAACATGCTTTCTAGGTTTTTCTCTGTTTTTGTCTTTGTAAGTTTATTATATGCCTTGGTGTGTGTCTGTACCTTTATCATACCTGGGAGTTTGTAGAGCTTCTTGGATGTTTATATTCATAAAATATAAATGCTTTGGAAATAACTCAAAGGTTTAAACAGTGATGTATCTGTACCATAGAATATTATTATGGCTTGGATTTGACATGTCTGCCAAAACTCATGATGAATCTTAAAGGAAATGTCTGGATCACAAGGTCTTTCACTTAATTAAGTTAATTAACCCTTTCATGAGTTTATTGGCTGAATTTACTTATAAAGACGTGGCATTTACTTGGATGCAGCAAGTCACCAGGGGTATAGCTTTGAAGGGCATGTTTTGTTCCTAGCCTTTTCCTTTCTAGCTTTTTTATTTTTTTCTCTGATTTCTGGCTGAGGTAAGCAGATTTCTTCCACCTTTTCCTCCCCACAGGATATTCTGCCTTGCCTTAGGCCCACAGCAATAGAATCAACTCATCATGGACTAAAATTTTCAAACCATAAGCTAAAATAAATCTTTCTTCCTTTAAGTTGTTTATATCACGTATTTTGTCACAGGAATGCTGGCTAAAAAGCCTAGTCAGCAGAAAAAAGGAATGATCTACAGATATAATCAGCCTTCCATATTCATGAAGTCCACATCCAGATTCAAGCAACCATGGATTAAAAATATTTGGAAAAGAAAAATTTTCTGTGATGAACATGTATAGACTTTTTCCCTCTCACTACTTGAAAATATATCACAGTTTGCACAGTATTTCCATGCAGTAAGCATTCCAAGTACCAGAGATTATTTTAAGTATATAGGAGAATGTGTGTAAAAATATGTCTTCTATAACAAATGTGAGCATCTATATATCTATGGGGTATCTGTACAACTGATATACTTTTAGAAAGATTTATCAAGAAAAAGAACAAATGACCAATAATAGAAATTAAAGAAGGACATCAATATTTACATCAAAGACATTAAATGAAACATATGGCAACAAATATGATAGTGTATATTTTCACAATACTCATTCCTAAAGAAACAATATACTGTATTTGCTCATAAATTTTTTACTTACCTGAATGTTTAAAGAAATTTAATTAGTATTAATGTAGGGAATAATGAGCAAAAAATCAAGGATACATCCGTATAGCACCTGTTCTTGTCCCAATAGCCAAGATTTTCTGAACTGGATCAAAGGCTAAAGCTGTAGGCTGGTAAGGAAAACCATGCCGAACTGTCTGAAAGAGAGCAAACAGTGCAAATAGTCATCAGAAAAATTAAAATTAAAATCTTAACAAAGCCACCAGATGACTAAAATTATGTCATTAAAAATATATTACAACTAAATGTTAACAAGGATATGGAGTAATTTAGAATCTCATATGTTGTTGGTGAGAATCTAAAACATGTCATTTTAAACCACTTTTTAAAATGTCTTGCAGTTTCTTATAAAACTAAAAACATAACCTAGTAATTCCACTCTGATGTGTTTACCTATGAATACTAAAAGCGTAAGTTTACAAAAATGATTTGCTTTAGTACAGTTTATTCAGCTTTATTTATAATAGTAAAAACCTGAACGTAGTCAAAGTGCCCCTCATTGAGAGAATTTCTGAAAAACTGTGGTATGGTCATACAATGAAATATGTACAATTAAGATAGCAAACACTGATAGACCAAAAAAATGTGATGATTTGCAAAAGCTTCCTAAGGAAAAAAACATGAGTTCACACATTGTGATCACATCTTGTAATAAGCTTTAAATAAGCAAAACTAACCTATAGAGAATAAAATTCGAGTAACTAAGGAAAACTGACTAAAGAGTACGAAAAAAATTTTCCTGAGGGGGAAAATAGACACATACACACAAATATATGTGTTAACAGGTGTGGCTTACAAAAGTGTATAAATTAGTCAAAATTCACCATGCTGCAGTAAAATTTGTAATTTTTCTGAATGTAAACAATATTTCAAATAAAGTTAAGAAAAAAGCTAATACTGAACTCAATATTTTGCACTCTACAGTGTTCAAGTATACTGACATCTGCAATTTAAAAATGCATCTAAAAAACGGAGATACACAGGAGGACAGAATAATATGTGATAAAGTGAAATAGCAAAATGGTAACTATCAAATCTAGGTGAAAATATACATATGATTTTACAATATCAGTCTGGTAACTTTTCTCTATATTTGAAAGTTTTCATAACATGATGAAAAAACAAAAAAGAGAAAGATATAAAAAGTTCATTATCTCATTAATGAAAAAAGACTGACATGAAAAGAGGCAATGTTAGATAAGAATTAATTTTAATATTAAATTTGCAATAACTTTTCAAATAGAGAACTCAAACAGGTCATAAGGTAGGGGAAGCTATCTTACTCACAAATTAAATTTCAAACCAAAACTGATTAAGAGAGACAAAGAAGGCCTCTACATCCTTGTAAAGGGAATAATTCAACAGAAAGAGAGGACAATCATAAGCATACATGCAACAAATATTAATGCCCCCAACTATATAAAACAAATCCTGAGTAACATGAAAAAGCAGGCACTAATACAACTGTAGCAGGGGATCTAAATACCACACTATCACAAATAGACTGATCATCTAGACAAAAAATCAACAACGAAATACTAGAACTGAACCAAGCTTTTGAACATAAAGATTTAATAGATGTCTCTAGAGTGTTCCATCCCACAAAATCAGAATATACATTTTGTTCAGCTGCACATGGGTCATTCTCCAAGATAGATCACATACTAGTTCAAAGAACAAGTTTGAATAAATGCAAAGGAATTGAAGTTATTCCATTTATTATCAGATCATAGTGCAATCAAGCTGGAGATCAACTGCGTAAAAAACCATAGGAACTTCACAAACACATGGAAATAGAACAACATTCTCCTGATCAATGGGTCACAGAGGAAATTAAGAAAGAAATTAGACAGTTTTCACAAATAAATGAGAATGCCAATACAACATACAGGAATCTATTGGACACAACAACAGCAGTTCTACATGGAAAATTCATAACACTGAATGCCCACATTAGGAAAACAGAGAGAGCTCAAATAAACAACCTAATGATGAATCTTAGACTCCTAAAAAACAAGAGCAAGAAAAACCCAAAGATCAAAGAAGAGAGGAAATTATAAAGATTAGAGCAGAAATCAATGCAATAGAAACTAAGAAAGTGATACAAAAAATAAATGAATCAAAGAGTTGGTTTCTTGAAAAATAAATTTTATAAACCCTTAGCCAGGCTTTTCAAAAAAAGGAAAGAACTGGTTCAGATCCATGCAATTAGGAATGAAAAAGGCGAAGTCACAACAGATCCAACAGAAATTCAGAGGATCATTAACACCTACTTAGAGAAACTGTGCTCTAATACAATGGAAAACACAGAAGACATGACACATTTCTAGATAATTTTGAATTACCAAAGTTTAACGAAGAAGATTTAAAAAAATTTAAACACCCAAATTACAGTCAGTGAAATTGAAAATGTAATTAAAAGTTTACCAACAAAGAAAAGCACACATCCTCATGGACTTACCGCTGAATTTTACAAGACATTTACAGAAAAACTACTGCCACAACTCTTTAAACTTTTCAATGAAATTGAAAGGGAAGCAATACTTCCAAATTCATTCCTAGAAGCAAGTGTCATTTTGATTCCCAAACCAGGAAAATGCCCAACCAAGAAAGATAACTACAGGCCAATCTCCCTATTGAATGTAGATGCAAAATCCTTACTAAGATGCCGGCAAACACAATACAGAGGGTCTTCAAGAAGATCATACAACCTGACCAAGTTGGATATTTTTCAGGGATACAAGGATGATTAAAAATACATAACTCACTAAATGTACTACACAATAATGACTTAACAGAGTCAAGGACAAAAACTATATGATCATCTCAATGGATGCAGAAAAAAAATCATTCAACAAAATTGAACACCCACTCATGATAAAAACCCTACAGAAAATTGGAATAGATGGTCTATATCTCAACTTAATAAAGGCTATCTATGAAAAACTGACAGCCAAAATCATATTAAATGGCCAAACACTGCAAACCTTCAAGTTAAAATGAGGAAAAAGACAAGGATGCCCACTATCACCACTCTTCTACAATATAGTTCTGGAAACATTAGCCACAGAAATTAATCAAAAGAAAGAAATTAAAGTAATAAAAATGGGAAAGGAAGAAGTTAAACTGTCATTATTTGCTGAAGATATGATACTCTACGTTGAAGATGCAAAAAACTCTCCCAAAAGACTTTTAGACTCAATTGGCATTTTTAGCAAAGTAGCTGGATACAAGGTCAACACCCAAAAATCAATAGCCTTCTTATACACAAATAACAGACTCACTGAGAGAGAAATTAGGGAAACAATTCCTTTCACAATAGTGTCCAAAAAACGAAGTATCTAGGAATCAATCTAACAAGAGAAACAAAAGACCTCTACACTGAAAACTACAGCACTCTGAAAGAAAGAAGTCAAAGAGGATATATGAAAATGGAAAGATATCCCCTGCTCCTGCGTAGAAGAATCAACATAGTGAAAATGACTATACTACCAAAACTGCTATACAAGATTCAATGCAATGCCAACTGAAATTCCAACACTACATTTCACAGAACTAGAAAAAAGAATCCAAAAATTCATTTGGAACCAGAAGAGACCTAGAATAGCAAAAGCCATACTAGGCAACAGAGGCATGGCAGTGGATATAACAATTCCCAATTTGAAACTATACTACAAAGCCACTGTGATAAAAACAGCATGGTACTGGCAAAGAAACAGACCTTAGGATCAGTGGAACAGATTGGGAGACACAAAAACAACTCCTGATGTACTTAGCTATATCATCTTTGACAAAGGAGCTGACCATCCCTACTGGAGGAAATATAGCCTCTTTAATAAATGGTGGGAAAAACTGGATCTCAACCTGCCAAAGATTAAAACTAGGCCCTTATCTTTCACTATGCACTAAATTAAAAACCAAGTGTATTCAAGGTCTAAATACTAAAAAAGAGTCAATAAACAAGGGTTGGAGGTCCCATTTGACTCAGCAATTCCCCTACTGGGTATCTTTCCAAAAGACTTTAAAAAATCATACCACAGACAGTTCTCACTGCATTTCCCACAGCTGGACCTACCAGCACTTTCCAAGGCACTTCAGCTTAAGTTTTAAGCTAAGCATAAAATCCTAGTTTAGGGAACCATGCCAGCTCCTGACTCAACCACCATCACTCAAGTGTGGGGAGGCAGCCTGGGCCCCGATGCACCACGGGAAGGAGAACCACGCCTGCTCCCGACCCAGCCACCATCGCTCAAGGGCAGGAAGGCAGCCTGGGACCTGATCCAACGCAGGATGGAGAACCAAGCCTGCTCCCGACACAGCTGCCATCACTCAAGGGCAGGAAGGCAGCCTGGTCCCCGATCCACCGCAGAAAGGAGAACCACGCCAGCTCCTAACCCAGACGCCATCGCTCAAGCGCCGGGAAGGTAGCCACTCGGGCATCCCTGAACCCCCATAAGCCCCTCCCATACTTTCAGAACTCCTGACTGTGCAAGTCTTTGGACCCACACTGCAGAGGCAGAGGTGGTCATCAAGGGCATTTTTCTGAGTCCCCAAATTTGAACATCTTTAAAGAAAGGGCATGGGAAACTTGTAATAGAATGTTGTGGAGTTCAACCATTCAGAAGTTTGGGGAACTCAATCTGGGCCTTGAAGCCTGAGGTCAGTCAGCATCATGGGGTTCAGCCATCAGCTAACTGAGATCAGGGGTCTTGCATACTCGCTCTGTCTGAGCCATTAAATGATAAATACACTACATTGAAATTTTCTTCACTGCACACATGTTCTGGACTGCTTCTTGATTTCAATTTAATTCAAATGATTTAAGGGTGATAGACTAGTGACTACTACCAGTGGTCAGTGTCAAAGTTGTGCTTGATCTTAATATGTTGCTGATTGTATCAGTTGGGGTAAAGCATTGCAGTTGATTTGAGGAGCTGTTTTCTCTGATGTTATGATGATGAGAATGTCTGTGGGTCATTAGAGACCCAGAAGTTAGGGCGCAACTGTATCAGGAAGATTTGGGTAATAATCCAGAGATTAAACCTAGGACAGTCCAACAACAAAAATAAAAATGAGAAAACACTTAAGCAAGACACAAGGACAGACTTCCAGTTCACCAATGGCAAACAGTAGGACA